GCGCTTCACGTGGAAAGTTGCAAACCCATGTGGAACAGTACAATGGTGGAAGTACATGCGTGAAGACAGTGTGTTCCGCCCCGCCTTTGGGGGGGCTCCACTTCGTTAAAAATAACCCTACCCACCCTATGTCAGAGGTGTGGAGTGGATCTCGCTTGCTCGGTCAGTCTGCGCCGCGAGAAGAAGCGTGTGCGCGCGCGCGTGTGTGTGTGTGTGTGTTCAATCCGTACCAACCGTTGCGGGAGGGGGCAGGTGTGACCTTGTAAATGAAAATGGTAGTTTGTTTATGATTTTAAAGGTAGCTACACAGGCATTTTAATACAAATTACTAAGAAAAAGTATTAAAATTTTTAGTTTTCAATTTGTTATATCTCCTAAACCAATGCCGTCCCCCACTTGATTCTTGCGGGGAATTACTCAGAAAACTTTCCCCTACAACATATCTAAGTGGCGAGGAAATCAGTGAGGTGTGACCTTTTCTGCATATTTACCGGGATGTCTTCCCGAGTCATTTCATATATGTAATTACTCGGGATGACATCCCCAACAACATATTTAAAAATGTATTGATATTATGATAAGTCGCCAGTGGTAATTAAAGGAGATAATGCTGTCGTCGACCAATCCGGCAAGTTTATTGATTAAACGTACAACGTTTCGGCCATGGGTTGTGGCCCTTTTCAAGCAGAATATTTAGTTTGGAACGCCATCAGATCTCTAATCATAATAGGTTGAATTACTGACTAATTGGTACAGAAAACCAACTTTCTCCGGCCGATACATGAACTTTTTCTCGAGTCATCCTTTAAATTACAAGATTAATACTATTATCAACCTAGTGGACCATGCAATTTTGCTATCGGATGAACAATTTCACAACTCTAACATGGCACTGGTTAAGGAGATCCTTACTAACAATGGCTTTCCAACACAGTTAATAGACAACCAGGTAAAAAAACGGCTCAACCAAATAAGACACGGAATCAAGCTACCGAAAGACAAAGAAATTAAGAAATTTGACGCAAGATTATATATGACACTACCATACATTAAAGGTTCAAGTGAGAACATCGCCCACAAACTAAAAAAGTGCGGCCTCAATACTGTCTACACAATCCCTAAGAAACTTAACACTACCATAACGAAAGGAAAAGACAGATTAGCCGACGAAAAAAGAACTGATATAGTTTATAGGATCCTCTGTGAGAATTGTAACGCGAGCTACATAGGACAAACCAAACGACATTTGGCAACTCGTATAAAAGAACATTTCAACGACATAAAAAAAGACGTAGATAATCACTCTGTGGTAACTAAACATCGCACTAATCATGGCCATGATTTTCATTGGCAATCTCCTAAAATCTTACACAGTGAGAAACACAGGAGAAAAAGAGAGATCGCTGAAATGTTCTATATTAAAAAATTTGACGATACGATTAATTTACAGAAAGACACCGATAACCTTAACCCGATCTACGACAAGATAATCAACACTGTTTAGCCCTGTATTTTATTTTCATGACTCTTAATTTATTTATAAACCTGTACGCAAGTCTCTCCACGGTCAGTCGTTGTTTAGCTTTCGCAACGAGAAGACATGCGATCCTAGTCGTGTCAAAAGCTTACCATTATTACACTACGTGGTTAACTGTAAGTTTAAAACAATTTTCAAACTCCGCAAATACTAATTCAACCTATTATGATTAGAGATCTGATGGCGTTCCAAACTAAATATTCTGCTTGAAAAGGGCCACAACCCATGGCCGAAACGTTGTACGTTTAATCAATAAACTTGCCGGATTGGTCGACGACAGCATTATCTCCTATATTTAAAAATAAAGCAAATCAGAGAGGAAGTCCCTTTTATGCATAATTACCATTAAAAATGGTACACAGTATTTCTTTCTTGTCAGTAATTTTGCAACTGTACATTCAAATAGCTCTATCTCGGAAACAATGGGAAATGGGACTTATATTTATACGAATATGTTTGCTTAAAATGACCGATACTATCACCTTTCAGAATATTGACTCTTCTTTCTGGAACACTGTATAAAATAAGCATATCATATTTACATTTTGCACATACGATTTTGGTGTGCATGTATACATTTGTACACATAACGTTAATTATTGCATATATGCAGATTGCACACATGACATTATTACGTGTATACATACATACACATTATATATATATGACGATATTGCTCATAAAATAAGAAAATCATATTAACACGGTAAATATATCATTAAGGTCAACGTCTTCGAATGACCTTGACCTTGAGATATTATAGAGGTCATCCTCCTGAATAATTTTCCATAGGTTTTAGCCGTCACACATTATTTGTTAAAAAGTTATTAACAAAACTAATTCAATAGCTTACCTCATTCGTAGACTTAGATTTGGGTTAGATAAAGTTAGTTATTTGTTTGGTGGAGAGAAATATAGGAGGAAGGGCTCCGAATTTCTTCCATCCACATATTTCTTATGGAATCATTTGTTCAGTTCTACATGGGTTTGCACTAGAGCTTTTGATTGGATACGTGTTTTAAGATTCACGTGTATACGTAATCCGTGTACACAGATTTATTAAGGTACCTTCATTCATGTGTACCTGTATACGTGACACGTGTACACGTATAGTCGTGTATGTGACACATGTATTCGAATATTCGTGTATGTGTGATACGTGTAAACGTGTGCAAATATTTATCAAAATTTGATGAAAGATCTCTATTTTTGCATATGTTGTTCGACATATGTATACGCATAATTTCAGCATTCAAAGTTTTATCTAGATTTTGGTGTGGGTTACGCGAGTACGCGAGGTAACGGGTCCTCAGATTTTCTGATTTCAACAACGGCTGATCCGATAAACTTTTAAGTGGACTCAATCGATAGCTTGGTTTCGATTTGCATTATAAAAGTGTTTTTATTTTTCTCCTACGTGCCCCATGAGTGGAGGTATTGCGACGCAAAACATAGGATTTCCGAATTTTCCGATTTTTTATTTTAAGAAACGTCGTCATCGTCAACAAAGGAGGGGTCGGGGTAATGTACTTTTTACTTTTTTGACGTAGCGTGATGCTTGCGTTACAAGCACGATCAATAGTGGTACAAAGTGAACGTGCAGCGATCGATTGTGACTGTGAATTATGATATACAGGGTGAATCTTATTTCCTGCCCCAGCCTTTTCCCACGAGAGATGGATTACCGACTGCAACGTTAGTTCACTGAACGGCACAAAAGGGCAGCTGCTTAGATGTCAGAGATGTTGCAGGCAAGTTGAAAACTTGTTTCATTTACGGACATCACGCGGAGAAAAATAATTTGCTAGCACAGTATATCTTATATAAACTTAAGGGGGGAACCTACTTTAGAAGGCCGATGTTATGTCCTGTGGACTCCACGATTTCTCTCTTTCAAAAGAAACATGTTTTTCTTTTCTTGGAAACTACAATTTTAGAAATCAGCGGATATCGACTAGCCAACGCACGAGTCCCTTCCCCACAAAAATTGATTGTCAGAGTTTCACTTTTCGAAACTCGAAACGTAAAGAGCTCTGATTGTTGCCGGTCGATAGCCGTTGATATAATAAAAAGGGGAGAAATAACAGACAGGATGGGATCAGGCCCCTTCAGACGGCAGTTTCGAAATTCAGATTTCCAAAATATTATTACGCCCGTGCTCGGATGCGACGTCCTGAGAGTGTGCGCCAGCCGCGGGCTGAAGTCGCGGCGCGGCGGTTTAAAAGATCGGTCACGAAGGACCGATGCGCGGTTGTTGATTATTGATTTTGTGATTCTGTCTCTGGGCTCTTGGAGAGTACAGACGTGTGTTCTTTACTAAATAAAGTTCCCTTGTTGATTTCCAATCTTTATTGATTTCTTCGCGGCCCGGTGGCGTGTGCCGCGAGCGGAAGTCGAGCCGACGAGTGCGCGAGTGCGCGAGGTGTCGTGTGGGCGGCGGAGCCGGACGCAACATTTTGGGGACTCCTCCTCCCATAGCTGGCTCCAAGACATCCTCTTCCTGCCTGAACTCTGCCAAAAAATAACTCCGCACTCTGTGGAACCCGCATGCCGCTCGACGACGTCCTACTTGAGTCCTCTTGCGCACTTGACTCTTCCCTGAGTCGTCTTGTGCGCTTGACTCTTTCCTCTTCGGACAGGGGAGGGGAAACTACACAGGGACCCTTTGCCCACGCGGGCTCTCCCTGTCCCTGCCCCGGCATTCGCCCAAAGGCCGCACGGGAAAACCCCGATTCTGAAAACCGTGGGCAGGGCAGTCTTCTTAATTCTTAAAGAAAGTCTTCTTTCAGAGCGATCCTCCACTAGGAGTTCCTCCTTTGAGACCTCATCATCGCGTGGAATTTTACTAAACCTAAAACAGAAAAACCACGCAGAAAACTTTTTGAACAAAAATCCAGGGTGTCTATATTTACACGGGCTCCAGTCCCTAACATTAAATCCTTCTTGGGGAATTTCCCGGAAAAGTTGACCTCCCCCCATTGAGGTCATCTAGTCCTCGTTTTCCTTTGCGATAGGACACTCCGAGCGGAAATGCCCGACTTTCCCGCAGGACCAACACTCGCGTCCGTAGGCGGATTTCTTTTCGCGCCAACCTTCCCCTCGAGCGTTCCCTTTCTTTTCTTTCATTGAGGACTTTTTGCCGCTCCCGTTCTCCAACTCTTCCTCTGTAGTTCTCCCTTCTTTAATAGCACCGCTCCCATAAAAATTCCCTTCTCCCCCTTCGAAACTTCCCCCCTGAATCACTAT